AGGTGAGGAGATTTGGGGAAGAGGGAGAGGATGTGGCCATCATTATTGACGGTGGAGCTGATGTAGCTTTATTCCCTGAATATGGCAGATCACGGGGAAGAGAGCTAGAATTCAATTCAGCTACCACACTGAAAGATGCGCAGGGGAATCGCCCCCCCACCGCGGGTGCGACAAGTGTAGAAATCTCCTTGCGCGATACGGATGGACATGAAGCTCTTCTCAAAGAGAATGCGATCTTCAGTTCAAAAGTGAATCAGCTTATACTTTGCTGTGGAAGACTGATGGAACATGGTTGGGGAATCAATGGTCGAGAGTCGAGAGCAGTCATTGTAGAATGGTGACCTCAAGGCACCACTCAACTTGCAAAATCGACCTTTGACAGCGCAAGGCCGTTTGAGTCATTCGAGATGAGGATGAAAGCTGCTTGGAGGTGCAAGTGCCTGAAGCTTTGGAGAAGGCAGCAGGTTGGAGATTCAATGAGCATGGCCTACTGTTTGGAAGCCTATTGACTTCAAGTTTTGTTGATCCCACATTCAGTCCAGAACTGGAAAATTCACCAGAGCTGATGAGAACCACTTCGTCACTTTGGGTGAGAGGAGGAGGTCGACGGCTTGCGCCTGAATATTGCGAGAGTACGATGAAAAATGAGAAACTTGATGAGCAATTCTTAGATGATGATGCAATCCTTCCTTCAATCTTCATCTTCAGCTATGAGCCAACGCCGCCAGAAGATATGGGATTCTTTGCGCCAGGATACAAGAAGCTTGAGAAGAGAGATGAGAGAAAGAAACGGAGGAGATTACCCCTGCTCCACCGGAGAAGGAGGTAGAAGACAACAACGAAGAGGAAGAGCGAAGAAGGCTTAGACAAGAATTGAAGTTGAATGGATGTAGACAAAGTCTTGGTGAATGGAGTAGAGTTGACTCAAGATTCTTCAGCAACTTTGAGGGCAGCGTGTTCATTCTCGGTATATCAGGCAGTGGCCCTAAGTTGAGGTCTTCACAAACATCCTCAATCACAACAAGAGATTGGAACTCTTGAATGCCAAAAGCTTGGCGAGCGAAGCAAAAGCTCAAGAGACAAGAGAAGCACTAGGACAAAGTGTGGCTAAAATGCCAGATGAAGCCACTCAAGCAAGGCACATATTGACACACCGACCATATGCCACTTGGTGTAAGGATTGCGTTGAGCGTCGAGCGCGCCCAGACCGCCGTGAGAGAACAGATGGAGTGAAGAGAGGAAGTATCCCTGAGGTAAGCTTTGACTTTTGCTACACTAGAGCAAGGGATTCAGAAACGAAGTCAGCAAGAGCAGTATGTTGGCTAGTTGCAACCGATAGCCAGACGATACCTTCATGCTGCGCCATTTGGAAGCAAGAATTAGTTTCGCCTCATTGTGCCAGAGTTGATGAATTTCAGTCAATTGCGGGGGTATTCAGCAATCACCGAGAGGAGTGACAATGAACCCACAACAAGACAAACCCTGAAGATGCTTATCATTGCTCATCACAGCCTAGGACTTACTACAAGATTCAACACCTCAAAATTGGGAGATCATTCATTTCTGTCAGAGAACACAGTTGACAGGGTGAGAAAGCTTGCAGGAAGTTTCATGGAAGGCTTGCAGTCGAGACGTGGCATCAAGATAGGATCAGATCATGCACTTTGGACTTGGGCAGCGGGACATGCCAGTTGGGACATACCCGTCAAAGGTGTCACTCCATATGAACTTGTCTATGGCAAGAGTTACAAAGGACTTCTAGCAGAATATGGTGAGGCAGTTCATGGTTACATTAAAAGTCTCAACAAAGCGAGAAGCTAGATGGCATCTATGCTTATTCTTTGGAAAAGTGGAATGTCTTGACAGATGGTGTGCAGGTAGCGCTAAGCAAATGCAGATTGGTCCAAATACTTGGCAACCTCTAAAAGCTTCAATGCCTATTCATTGCAATACCAGGCAAACTTTGGAGGTAGGATCATTGCCGCAAAGAGAAGAGCAGAAGCAGCGCCAGTAGCAAAGACAGACATTCCTCGAGAGCGTGCGATGTTGAAGTTCAAAGATGAAGATGCAGAAGCCGTCATGGCCAAAGCTCTTGAAGGAGGAAGTGATTCCAGCCCCGCTGGAAATCCGGCTGAAACAATGAAAAGAGATGGAGGTGAAATGAAGATTAGTGGAGAAGAAACTCCAAATAAGAAGCATACATTTCTTTTTGCAGATGAAAAGACACTGGAAAAGGTGAGTGCATTCCCATCTACATCATTGCCAGCAGGCCAACCCAATCCAATTGGTCCTATACTATCTTCACCCAGGTCATCATCAGCGCCTTCGAGAGCAAGGGAAGCATTTGAGTTGCTTGAAGAAGAAAGTCCCATGAAGAAATTAACGCCATCAGAGGATTCAAGCAAGAAGTTCAAGATCAACTTGGTAAAAAATGGTAGGAGAAGATCTCTATCATGTAGATGAAGAGCTATCCCCAGTTGCAGAAGAAGTTGATGAAGAGGACTGGGAAGAAGAAGGAGAAGAAGAAAGCGAAGAGGATGAACTACATGGACCTGAATGCTTGCGGTGTGATGGAGAACATGAACCAGAGAAGAACTAGAAGAGTGGATAGATGGAGTAGCTGATGAAGTTGAAGAGAAAACCACGAAAGATGCAAGCGCTAGAGAGACCAGAAGGCAGCGCAGAAGGTATCAGTACCCTGACTACACGCAATGTGTAGGAAGAAGCAGCGTCAGTGAGGAGGAGGAAGCAAGAGAGGGAGAACGAGCATTTTCTGAAGTGCTAGGTTGTCTTGATGTGAAAGATCCTTTCTAGCAAGTTCCACAGGAGAAACCTTTGAAAGTGAATTTGAGAGGGGAAGAATTCTTGGTCAAAAGGAACTTACCTAGACGGCGGGTTGGAGCAAAAGCATGGTTTGACTTCTTCACAGAGCACCTCACCGAACCCAATTACAAGTTCAGTGCTGAGTGTCCACGCCTAGGAAGAAATGAGAAGGGTATTGTTTTGATTCACGTGGATGACTTGATTTTCACAGGTTGTTCAAAGTACATCAATGAAATCTTGCTTCCCAAGTTAGAAGTCGACGGACTATGGATCCAACCAGGCAACTACACCCAGCAGATGTTGAAAGCCTATGAGGAGCAGATTGGCCAGACCAAACTTCAACAACTAACATCGGACAACTCCATCCAGATGGAAGACAAGTCAGAGATCTTGAATGATCGAGAGAGGATCAGCCTATTCAGAAGCATTGTTGGTTCAGGAATCTACCTATGTCAAGAGAGGTATGATGTCGCGTTTGCAGTGGGGGAATTGGTTTCAAGAATGGAAAATCCAACATCTATGTCGTTTCATCACTTGAAGAAGTTTCCAGGATACTTGAAGAAGATCCGCAAGCAGGAGAAGGCTGTGTGAAGAAAGGAGAAAGCTATTGGTGCTTAGACATTCTCAGATTCAGACTGGAGTGGAGACAAGAGCGATAGAAAGTCCACATCAGGAGGGTACCAATAGACAGCAACACAGCAGTACCAAACCACTTGGAGGCCAGAGAACCAGATTTGGAGAGAAAAAGCTTCATTATCATTGGTTTTGAGCACAAATATGAAGGGTTGAGACATTTACGCTTGTGCAGAGTGAATGAAGCAGAACTCAGGCTGGTTGAGGTTGAGTATATGACTAACCAGAAAGAAGAAGATGAACGCCAGCTAGCCAAGCCCACAAGCTATGCCAGGAGAATTCATTGTGATTCATTGTGGATTGATTCTCAATGGGGGTTTTGTAGAAGAACAAGAAGTTGATTGGATGCCTATATGCAGGCGAGACCAACGCAGGAAACTAAATACCCAGAAGGAGCTTAGAAGACATGAGATCAACCGCAGGACAGCATCATGGACATCAGGTGATGTTAGCAGGTACCCAAGGAGCAGTTCCCTCAGAAGGACCAACCAACAGGATATTCAAGCCAGGGAATACAGAATATGTGAACAGCATTGAGCATGAACAGGAGCAATTGAATCAACTGTGTGGTTGACTTTCTAGGAAGATTGACAGTTTGAATCGACTAACAGTGGCTACTAGCAGGAAGAGGAGATTATGATCAAGCAGACAAGGTTGAATATGAGAAAGATCGATATCAAAGGCTGATAGATGAAAAAAAAGAGGACCAAAAAATCCAGAAGACACAGCAGCTGAAGACTCAAGGAGTGCCGTTCCTTAGAGGAGAGAGAGAATCAACCAAACTATGATGAAAATAGGGACTATGGCGACAGAGTGAGGTAAAATAGCAATTGAGCGCTCACACTACCGAGAAGGAGTGTGAAGAAGTTTCAATGTAGATCAGATGTAGTATGTAAAGCATTGCATTATAGCTTTGACCTGCGCGTGGCCCTTTTGCATCCAGAGACAAGTTCGCAATATATATATATATACCTATGTATGTTCCAGTTTCTGAAGAAAACATCCAAGATTCCCTGCTCTTAGCTGGCTGTCTGCCACATGCTTTCTTGGGCCAGGAGCAAGGTGCGGGGCAGAAACCCCGAATACTAAGTAAGTAGTAAGGGCAGAATCGGAAAGTCAAATAGACTAGATGAACGTTAAATAAAAAACCCACCACAACATCTCACAATCAAAAAGAAAACACATGTTTGGAACAGAAAATCAAAAATGCAAAAGTATAAAAAACTCAAAATTTGATCATCTTGATCCAACAGTTATAATAACTACTGCTATCTTCTATTTGAGTTGTTTGCCAGGAAGGTGCCCGTGTACCGTTACAAATAGAAGATATATAGCTACAATTTTTCCATATGCGCCAGCAAGTTCACTGAGCAGGGAACTGTCCTTACTGACTGTGCCACGTGTGGGTGATTGCCAAACCATCCATCATCACGCAGTTGCTGCAAACTCCACAAGCCGGCGCGAACGCACACACTGGCGTGCAAGTGTTTAGAACCCAAATGATGTCTCCAGCGTTGCCACTTCTTTGCAACACTGCGGGTGAGGACAAGGATTTGCTGATTGACAAAGGTCACTCAACATATGTGCCTTTGGCCGCACCAACCAGCCGGTCCCTGCAGATCTTTTGCTTGCTTAGGGTTACCCGCATGTTGGTCTTAATGCAAGAATGCTTGGGATCAGCATTTCGGACATTCATGAACACCTTTTGTTGAAACACTGTAGCACGCGTTGGGGAATATGCTGAGGATTTTTTTTCTGTGAAAAGGTCCCATACAGAATCAGCAAGGACGTGCGTGCATTGTATATATCAACTCCACTTTTGTACAACAAGGTTTCTTTTAACATTCGGGTGGTATGCAAGTAAAATCAGTAACGTGCCCTGGAAACATTAAAAGAATCTCCTGGAGACCAATTCCCTACAAATGAATCTCTCGAACTTTGTAAACACAAGGCCCATGCCTTCCCAAAAGCAAACAACAATTTTCAGGGTTTCTCATTGCATTTTCATAGGGAGGGTGTAGACATAAAGAAGCATTAGACATCTCTAAACTTTGCGCTTCCTGTTCTGTACTGATCGCGGGTGTTAGGCCACAAATGAGTTTTGCATAAAGTAGGGGTGATCCCACAGCCCTAAGAAAAAAAGAAGAAGACACAATTTGTGAAGCTATGCCCCCACCTGACATCAGTTGATGACTCCTTCAGCGGTTTGTATTGCCACACCATTTCAGTTGGCAGTGGGTGAGCCACCAAACACAAGACCGCAATTTGCCAGTGTACATGTTTAATTAGAAGTTTGTCACCACGTCACCACGTGTCAATTAGATGACGCCCTTCTTCGCATCTTGGAGCGAGCGTTTCAAGGTTGAGCTGTCATTCGCTTGCATGGACTGGGGCAGTTCTTTCTCACCGGCTCTTCCAGATTCATACCGCATTCTCGCGGAGAAGGACTTGGAAAAGGGGGGAAGGGAGCTAGTCCTTCAGATCAAAGCCGGACATGCTGCTTTGCACGTATGCTTGTTGTGCAAAATGGACGAAGGACTTTCCAACAGAAATGAATGCCACATTGCAACTGGGCAATGTTTACAGTAGATCAATCCGAAATTGTTTGAAGCAAACCTCCTGTTGCAGCTCAGTGCTGGTCAGGGGGTGCCAGAAACTCTGCCTCGACCGGAAAGATTGCGTGCACTTTACCGTGGCATGGTGGCAGTGCAGCAAAAGTAGGCATGTGGCATACGAGGGTTTCATTCGATCACTTTCATTTGCAAGCTTCACGGGCTCCAAATGGCCCCAAGATGCGTGCCCTCAGGTCGAGTTTCCTATACGTTCCTGCATTTTGGTTGGAAAAGATGCACTTGCCACAGCTGGAATAGTCGGGGCAATATCAGGTCCACCGAAGTGCCTTGGCCCCCACTTTCTGGAAGATTTGGATATAGCAAATTGACGAATAAAGAACATGTGGCATTGAGAGTCTTAAGCAAGAAGCTACTAGGGTGTGTTGAGGCGAGCGCGATTTGTTCCTTTGTTTCTTGCAGCGAGCATGCTGTTGCTTGCTTGTGCAAATCGGCGCTGAGGTGTGGTGACAAAGCGATGCAGCATCTTCGATGAGTATTCATCATACAGTAATCAGTAATCAATGAAATTTGGGTTCGGACCCGGTTGATGATCATATTTACTAGCACTGTGGGCTGTTGTTTGGTGTTCCTATGTTACATGCATATTGTATTTGTATTTTTTTTAATTTACTGCTTTGCTCAGGTCTTACTACTGGGAGTTGTCCCCGCAAGGGGGGCAGCAACAATGGAGATATGTCGATCCAAAGTGGTGTGCCTGGGTTTCACATGTAAGAACTGCATGTTTGTTATGTTGTCCCATAGCTCAACCCTGCCTTGGTAAACTATTGTATGCCAAGATAGAATTAACAGAAACAATCATTCATTGGCTTGCTTGGGAGTGGGGGAGTGGGGCCGCTGGTGCACAAGTCACGCAAAAGTGAGTCATGCATTTGTATTAAAATGCATATATATATATATGCTAGCCCCCCTCAAAAAAACATATGTTTCTGAGTCCTGGTGTTACTCCGTATGATTTTGTGATACGCCAGAGACAGATGTTATGATATGACAGCAAGAATGTTGCAGACACATTTCTCACACGTATTTTGCAGACACATTTTTCCTTGCAGTCAGACAAAATTCACTTGGCAAAGTGCCAAGTGCACAAGGTACCAGAGGACTTTTCAACTCTTGACGCACGAGTTAAAAAACATATGCCTGATGTGGACCCAGGCTTTCCGTCAATCTAACATTGGGTTGAAGCTTTGACAATGCACACTTGTCAATCCGATGTCATTTCTTCATCCGACTCCTCTACCTGGGCGCGGAGGTGTTCAATCTCTTGTTGGAGGTAAGCAATCTCAGCATTCTTGCCTTTGATGATTTCCTCGGCTTCGGCCAGCTCTGCCTGAGTGGCGTGAAGGGCGTCGAAAATTGCCTCGAACTCTTGCGTCTTTTTGTCCACCTCCGCCTTCAACCCCTCGAACTCTTGCGTCTTTTTCTTCACCTCCGCCTTCAACCGGTTCGCCTCCGGGCCTTCATCACCGGACTCCATCGAAGATGAACTTGACGAAGAGGAGCTTGAAGAAGAACTCTTCTTATCCTTGAGGGCCAGGACGCGAGCCTTGGGCGCGGAGGAGCTTGCGGAAGACTGCCCTTGCTGAATGTCTTGGATTGCTAGGGTAGCAGGAGCCTTGTTCAATATAGGCTTGGTCAGTAACGCCTCGAAGCGCTGCTGAGCTTCATCTGTCCAGTCTCCTGTGGCCCCCGGCTTGAGCAAGAGTTGCCGTTGAATGGTGCTCAGCGCGTTGGGGATCCATTTCTTCTGCAAGGGCAAGCGGGTAGGGTGAGCGGCCCAAGTGCCGGACGACACTTTCTCCAAGACGGTGCTCGTGGCCGGTCGCGTCATAGTGACCTGACAGACACGGAAACGAAAGGTTGAGAGCACCAATTTGTGAGGGTTGCATGAGGAGCAGCTGCGTTGAAACAGATTTATGTTGCGTTTAGTTTTTTGGTTTGACCGGCGCCTGCCCGTTGGTCCACTGCACTGTGCCCGAAATGTGCATCGCCATGGGCCCGGAGGAACAAGACCAGATTAGTGTTTTGAGCCTTTCGCGCTCACAGGGAGATATTGTAAGTGATAATTCCTCAGAATGATAGTGCAATTTTGTCATTACCAGAGAATGCCAGAGAATGCATTCCTGCCCAAAACCAAGATCCAAAATCCAAGATTTGCACAGAAGTCTTGTGGAAAATGTTGGATTTGGGAACATCCTGCCCAAAACCAAGGTCCAAGACAGAAGTCTTGTGGAAAACCTTGGATTTGGGAACATCCTTTATCACTGTATCAATCCAAGATTTTGGCCAGGGGTCTTGTGGGAATCTTGGATCTTGGTTTATCCAAGATTTTAGCCAGGAGTCTTGTGGGAATCTTGGATCTTGGTTTATCTAAGATTTTAGCCAGGAGTCTTGTGGGAATCTTGGATCTTGGTTTTGACCAAGAATGCATTCTGAATGCATTGAATGCATTCTGAATGCATTCCCTCCAAAGTGGACAAACAAGTCATGCAACCTACGCGCACAAAAAATATATATGGTACCCCAAAAACTAAGGTCCAAAAGGCCGCCAAAAATAGACACAAAATAATGCAAATACCAGCAAAAGTGAGGTGAACATAGGTTTTTTTTTGGGGGGTACCATATATATATATATCTGTCCGATTTACTGTATACCATTTTTGAATCTATCATTGTGAATTGAAATATTTGTTCAACCTTTGGCCTCGATCCTGTGCGCCCGTAACAACAATAAAGGAGCTTGGCACTTTTGTCCGTCGCTGGCGCTGTGCTGCTTTTTCTGGCGTGGTGCTCTCAGTAGAGATTGGTAGCTCTACTTTGGCCTTACTCATGCCTACTCATTGGTAGGGCGTCATTTCGCTCTCTTGACTGCCAAGGTTGCTGCGACGGAATTCTCCAGCATGCTCTGCTCGGGGTATGCATCACGCAGTGCAACACGCTTGCTACACCCAAGCAATGACCGAGTCGCCAAGCCATGAGTGGAACCAGGTCGAAAACATAATTTATTCAACGCATCTCAATATGAACTGCGAAAGGTGCCAAACAGAAAACGCGAAGCTGGTGGTTTATGTTTCAGGCATTGATGAAGCCAGTGCCAGTGGACTGGGACATTGAGTTTGCAACTGCTCCTGAAGGGTACCCGTATCCCGAGTGAGTCTTCGTTATCAGTTAATACTGGTTGAATGTTTCAAGCGTGACCAGTGAAACTGGTCCCGCTGCAATTTCACCGCGCTTAATTCAGTGAGTTATATTGCGCCATCAAGTGCAAACAGTCACCTTTGGCAATTTGCTTGCTGACTCAGCGAGTTCTTGTGGCTTTTGCTTTAGCAGTGCCATTGCGAAACTGCAATGGGGCTCAGCCAGCAAGCCATTGCTTTCATTGCTCGGGTCAAAGTCAACTCCGCAAAACACCAGGATGTGCAAAGTGCCACTCTAAAAATGTCTCGATTGCAATCATGCTTCTGAGTCACTGAGGTTCTTCCGTCCATTTCTTCTTCTCGGCTCCCAGCACACGAGCAACCAAGGGTAGGTTGAGTGCGGCGAACACCTTGCAAATCCAGCATCCATTTATAGAGATTCTGCGAGGTACTTGTGCAAATATGGCAGTGCTTTGCGAAGCTTTTGAAGCATTTGCCTCCCAAAACCGCAAACAATTGCTTTAAAACTGCTGCCGCACGAGATCCCATCATTCTTCAGCTTTTGGCAAACGTCTTGCAAGATATTTTTCAGTAATTGCAATGTTTTGACGCTTTTAAACATCAATGTGGTCTGTGTGGTTTGCTAAAGTGCCTTAGATGCAACCATCAGCACCAGCCTGTTCATGGGTTCAAGTGACAAGTGGGTTCACTGTCACAATTTCAGAACGGAGGCGGACGGCTTTGTGGCAAGACTTGTTAAAACAACCTGTAGAGGACTAATCGTGTTGAATCGTTTCTGAATCGTTTCGAGGTTATCCTCCTTCACAAGTACGATGACTGAGGCTCAAACATGTGGTTAAGAGGCCCACTCCTCGTTGAAAAGAATGAGCTCTGACACTTCTGAGTGGCGCGCAACTAACACAACTCTACGCAAATTATTGCTGCCTGCTGCTGCTGCTGCTGCAGCGCATGCTGAATTGGAGGCGCATGCCATTGCGCCGCCAGCCAGCCAGCCACCTAATGTGGTACCTGCGTTAATCACCCCCCCTCCTGAACAGTTGGAGCCCCTAGAATAGTATTAACATAATTACAATAGAACGCCAATAAGCAAAAGGAATCTTTACTCGGCTACCTCTGGAGCTACTCTGGCAAAAACAAAACGAAAGGAACCAAGACTGAAGACATGTGCAGTTAGCATGAAAGAAATCAAACGCCTAAGGTTGAAGACATCTGCAATATTAAAAATGAAGGGAATCAAGAAACCAAAAATAGAAACCTCCAAAAGTTGTTCCATGAAAATCTGCGTGATCAATGGTTTTTTGAAAAGTAGAAGACTTGATCACAAGGAAAAGATATCAAACAGAATGAAGATTAGCTTCAGGAAAGCTGCAACCTAAGAATCAGCCCAAAATATTGTTTTATCCAAGAAACTTGCTTGCTGGACCGAATGACTTTTTGTTATTTTTCAATGTTTCTGAATAATGATTTTTGTAAAGACAGTGCGCACATACTTTGGGAACTTTTGGAAGACTTAAGGATTAAAAGATCTATATAATGAAAAGTAAAAGGCTTGACCAAAGAAAAAAAGCAAAAAGAATGAAGATCAGTTTCAGGAAAGCTGCAATCCAAGAAACTCCACATGTTTAGACATTATTCCCCAAACAGTGTGGACACACTTAGGGGTTCTTACGGTAGTGGTTAAGCACCTGTGTTAGATCGCTGTGTCGCGTGGGCGTGTGTGGCTAGTTCGCTGCTATTTACAGTACATTCATGTTTCTCGAAATCGTCAACGTGCATTTCGGCTGCGCAGGCTCGCGAAATCTGCGTGGGCGCGGTGCTTGTCGCGACTGCGCTCTCGTTGTGGTGCCGTGCGCATTTTCGGACATGGTAGTCACTTTTCATGGCAGGCGCAAGGGAAACCTCCTGTTTTCGTGGTCCAAAGTTGACTTTTTGTGACAGGCGCACGGGATCGGAGCGGCTTTACTTCGAAATGATGATTTCGTGGCAGGCGCAGCACTTTGGACATGGTGGTGATCTTCGATGAGCTCTGATTTCGTGACAGGCGTGCAGATTTCGTGGCAGCCGCGGCACTTTGTGGACCTCGAAGTGCAGATTTTGAGGCAGGCGCAGCACTTTGTGAACCTCGCAGTGCAGATTTCGTGGCAGGCACAGCACTTTGTGAACCTCGCAGTGCAGATTTCGTGGCAGGCGAAGCACTTTGTGGTCAGATGCTCACCTCCCGCCTCTTGCTCTCAGTCACACTCACACTCACACACGCTCACACTCACACTCACACTCACACTCACTCACTCGCTCTCACTGTCACATTCAAACTCAGTCCCACACTCACCCTCACACTCACACTCACACACTCACACTCACTCACTCTCTCACCCTCACTCACTCGCACTATCTCTCACCCACACTCACATTCACCCCACTCTCACCCTCCCACTCTCCTACTCTCACTCACACTCACACAGACACACTCACTCACTCACTCACTCACATTAATTAAATTAATATCACTCTTTCACTCTCACCCTCACTCCCACTCCCACTCTCACCCTCTCACTCACTATCTCACTCTCACTCACTATCTCACTCTCACTTGCACTCTCACTCTCACTTGCACTCTCACTCTCACTCTCACTCACACTCACACTCACACCCTCTCACTCTCACTCTCACTCTCACCCTGACTCACTCTCACTCACACTCACTCTTTCACTCTCACCCTCACTCCCACTCCCACTCCCACTCTCTCACTCACTATCTCACTCTCACTCACTATCTCACTCTCACTTGCACTCTCACACACTTGCACTCTCACGCTCACTCACACTCACACACCCACACTCACACTCTCTCTCTCTCTCTCTCGCTCACTCACTCACTCACTCTCACTCTCGCTCTCACTCTCACTCTCACTCTGACTCTGACTCTGACTCTGACTCTTCACTCGCACTCACACTCACACTCACACTCACTGCTGCCACCGTCACCACGATCTCTTTGGACCGCAAGGCGTCTAGGTGTCTGGACTTTCTGCTGCTACACCTCTAAGTCTAGGCCTCACACACACTGTTTGGGGTCTCTTGCCGGAATAATTTTAGGGCCCCCAAAATAATGTCAGAAACTTGCTTGCTGGACTACCCCTTTGTTGGCATGATTCTTGTTGGCTCTCAATGTTCTTGAATAAGGATGTTTGCACAAAGAAATGCGCGCATACTTTGGAAACTTATGGAAGACTTAGAGATTGACCGAGTTAATGAAAAACAATAGACTTGATCAACAGCCCTTCAAAATCACCAAAGTTCAATGGAAATCTAAATTAAAAAACATATATATATATATACACTAGAAATCTCCACCCAAAGACCTTCAACATCACCAAATCCCAATGGAATTCTCCAATGTTTGATGGACGTGATTTGCAAAATTACTAAACCAGAGGAACAAAAATCAACAAACAACAGCAACAAAAATTTGCCCCAAAACAGTTCTCCTCCCAAAAGCATTATTTTGGGGGCCTTCATTAATCAGTGCAGGGTTGACATTATTCATATTGTTCTGGAGGCGTTTATTAACCAGAGAACCACATTAGAATCAAAGTATCCGGCGGCCACCAAAGTATCCGGCGGTTGGTGTCCGGCGGCTGGCGGAAGCACACGCAAAAAGTATCCGGCGGCTAGCAGAATCAGCCACCAAAAATATTCGGCGGCTGGCGGAATCAGATCTTTATTAGGCCCCGAACTTCAGGGTCTATACACAAATCACACGTGCAGGTTGTGCGCCTTGGAGGGAAATGAGGAGAAACGTCAAGGGAAAGAAGGACAAGGGTTCGGTAAAAGGGTTAGGTGCCCCATGGCTGGAAACTTGGAAGGCCCACAGAGGCATACCAAGTTATGGCAAACATTTTGAAAATTGCGCGCAAACAATTAGCTTTCAGTTTTCCTAAACGGACATACCACAGTGTACATAGATAGATAGATATATAGGGTATGTAATAGCTATATTATATAGTTTGTTTTTACTGCAAATGTTTGGCATTCTGTCCGTCGTCGCCGTCGTTGGTCCCGCAGATTGCGCATGTTGCGTGAATGTTGTTACATGCGCTGGCATGATTTGCCACAGCAAGCTGGTACTGAGTACTGCTTAAACAGGCCCACCAAGCACAGGCCCCTTTCAATCTCCTTGCAAGAAATGGCAGGAGGTCGACACTCCTTGCCTGATTTTTGGCGTCTCCCCATCCCCAGCCTTTGCTCTTGCGCTGTGGATTTATTATGCTCTGCGACTTTGGTTGTGCCTTGGTCTCGATGATTGCCCAAATGAGTTCCAGACTCCAGACAATGGTATCCGCAATGTTCATGTCCACTCTAGACTCTTTCCATGCTTGATGCCATTTGATGCCTATCACACCTCCGTGTGACCTTTGACATTGCTTAGCAAGTTTCCTCATGCCGCATGATGCCCCAAGTTTCCTTCTCTCACGTGCAGATACGTGCAGGTTGGTGGTTTTATATAGAGGTCAAGGGACTTGAGACCAGAGTTGCCGCATGAAAACAAGGCGGTGCCGTTTGCACTCCATGTGGTTCAATTCAGTGCATTAGTACAGTGTAAAGTCTCAGTTGCTGTTGCAGCCTCGAGAACAATGCTTGTCAGAATGTGCATTGGCTTCTGACCATGGTGGCCACTGCAAGGATGCGGCTGAAACTGTTGCCATGTTCAATGGCATTTGCTGTGGCATGCCATTTGCTGCGACACGGATTGAACAATTCAGAAGGGTTTGTTGGCAACAACTGGTTCAGCTGCGGCCGTGAGAATCCAGTGGCTCTATCAGCTTACAAGCCGATTTTGCGACGGGACCCGAAATTGAATGTGAAGCTTCAAGCGTGGATCCGGCAGCAGCTTCGCCTCGTGAAACGTCAAGAGGCTGGAGGCTTCTCAGAACCTAACGAGAGAAAGAGGCTGTACTTGAAGAAACTTGGTTTGGACAAAAAAGCTGACGAATTGGAACAACAGAAACTTCAGCCTCCGTGGCATTTGAATCATATCGTTGCGGGTGACAAATTTGTTGGTTATTTCCAGCATCCCGAATTGTTTGACGGAGAGCAGCTGGATTTGACTTTGGAGGCAGTATCTGAGTCTGAAGGAACCATGATCTCCAAGAGGGGAGATTTTGATGAAACAATGAAGCTTGAACAGGACTACCCCATTGCGTTTCAGTCTGGCGAGCAGAAGGACAATGATATGGCAGCCTATACATTTCACAAGTTCAATGAAGGCTGGAGAAATTTTGAAACTCCGATGCCATCAGAGGCTGACTGTCAGCACTTGACCTTGCCCATGCTGAGATTGTTCTTCAAGCAGGCCTGGTATTTGGGAGGGGTGTCACACCCAAAGTTACTACTAGTAAGGCACCTTGCTACTAGCAGCTAGGTTTGTTGAAGGTTATTTGGTGTTTGAAGGTCTTGAGGTATGCGCCGCAAACTGTTTGACGAGGTGGCTGATGTTGAAGGTTTCCCATCTGAAAGCGAGTTTGCTGAGAGCTGCACGGATGCTTCAAAGGGTATGACCAGGGAGGAGCTCACACACATTTGCGCATCATTGTGTATGAAATCTGCACTTTTAACCATGTTTGGTTGGCAGTGTGCGCTTGCATCTCTCCCTGCAGGAGTTTTTGACTTATTTGCGCGCCGAATCTCCAGACTACCTAGCACTTCAGATTAATTAACTGCAACTAGCAAGAGGCAAGAGAATGAGAACTAAAAGCCGCCTTTATATAGTATAAGCATTTCAATATGTTCTCACAACTGTCCTGAGGAGAAGTCCTTCAAAGGAATTTTCACGGGGCGACGACTTCGCTTGAGGGATGAGACATTGGACTTTGACGGCGATTTTCAATCAGATGCAAAGAACTTGATCTACGGTTCCTGAATGCAACAAGATACGTTTTCTTTGGGCAGCAACTTGCTGTGCATACAGTTGCTGCGGTTTTGCTGAGGCTTTGTCTCTTTCAATGGCAAGCCTGGTGGAACATTCAATCTAGAATTGTCAGAGGCTCAGACTGCTGCTAGCAGTGCTGCTATTGTATATTTATATATATATATGTGTGTTGTCGTGGAAGTTTGGTTGTAGTCTTTGGGGCAGCTGAGCTGAGGACAAAGGAAAAGAAATAGAGCCTATTTGGAGTTCCATGCAGGAAGCCTGACTTACTAGTGTCCGCCTAGCCAAAGAAAAAGCTAGTGGAGGATGTGGAAGGCTTGTTCAGGGCGGTTGCTTAAAGCTTTAGATACTTGTGTGCACTTCTTTGCGCCAGTTCAAGTGATGCGGTTTCAGTGCAGACTTGGTGCAGCAAGACAAGCAAGCAAGCACGCAAGCCCTGATGCTCCAAGACTCAACCCAGGTATCGATCATTGGCTAAGCATTAGGTGAGCCGGCCAAGTGTACTCGGTGACATGTTCCATATTGTTCCATCGTTCTCCATTTTTTATTTTAGATTTGGGTATATTCAGCAGCGCAGGCATAAGACTAGGGTGATTTCACTTTGAGAAGCTTGCGACATGCTTCTTGGCAAGCATGCTTTTGGCTGCTTTGACCCCTGCATATTGGATCCTTCGGCTCTCGCCAGTTTGTGGGGCACCTGCCTGGCTTCCAGACGTCGAAATCGACGACTACGAGTGCCGCCGTGCAATTTCAAATCCCGTGGTTAATTGGGGCGTTTTGCGACAACGATTTGGAGATCTTTCAAGATATGTGCTGAAAGAAAGGACTATGTCGATGAAAAGAGAAGATGCACTGCTTTCTGACAAGGTGCTTTTGGATGTGCAAATGGAGCTTTTGGAGTTTTCTGCAGTGATCTTGTGGCGCTTTCCCGCCGCTTTGAACGAGTGTCCTTTTGGAGCAGTAACAGCTTCGATCTTTGCCACATGCATGGCCTTCATTCGGCAGGAGCTTTCTGAGCTGGACACGACCGCCTTTGAGAGCCTTCTCAAGTCTCCTTACGACCGGTTTCTAGCTGATTTGAGACAGCAGTCGTTGGTGGAACTGCTGTCGCGAGACCTTGCTGTTCTTTTGGACTTGGCACCCTTGCATGTCACAGCAGCCACAGAGTGGTCTTCGTTTGCGCTGCTTCATATATACCTACCCAAGATACAGGTTAAGCATTACCAGTTGCCGCAGCATTCTCAGACTTGCTCAGGTGCATCCGTTTCGGGCTACACCGCAGATCGCATTCGGGATCTCCTACGGCGCCATGTTCCATACGCTTCAGGACGTGACATTGAAGGTCTGAAGTTTTTGCGAGGTCTCGATGGTGTTGTGTCTGCGGCCATGAAGGATCCTCGGGAGTTTTCCACTGCCTTTGTTCAAGCGTGCCCTGCTGGGTCTGCAGCGTTTGCTATTGCAGCGGCGATGCTGTCTCTTATGTCAAACCCTTCCTTGTTCGAGCGCTTCAGCAACCTTGCCCTGTGGGTAATGCGATCCTACACCTCCGAAGTCTTGAGAGGTGCCACAACTTGGAGTGTTTTTCATGGACTTGCAAAGCTGGGGCAATTTGCATTGAGATCTTTTGACTTGGTGTGTGGGGCTCAGCTTTCACTTCTTTTTTCCTGAAAATCTAGGAACCAAATAGTCCGATTGCGTCCTAGCTAGTGGCAATACCTGGTAGTTTGTTTAAAAGTTTAGCCCTTCATTGAGTAGGCGCTTACTCAATTAAGGGCAGGTAAAAAATAAAAGCAGACTTTATGCTGCTTTGTGGCTTAGCTTTCCCAAGTTGACGCGACCGAGGTGGTCAGCGGAGGAGTTATTTCAGCTGCCCGAAGATCAGCACGACTTTGACAAACTCCGTGATCCATCACTTCGAGCAGAGCACCTGGAACATGCGGCGACCCATCCCACCACACGTGAAATTGCGGCTTTTCTTCGCAGGGTAGACAGGGTCAAATACAGCTCCGAAGCCATGGTGTATATAACTGCTGTTGGTGGCGTGCCTTTTTCCAATTACATTGAAGGACCTTAGGGACCGGTTGGGTTGGCAAACTGGATTAGTTACTGGGCTAGAGCTCAGGATAAGAGTATGTGTATATCATCTGTATATGTTCACTCTTGAGGAAACGTCACAGGAAACCACATGAGTCAATCATCCTGGCGTACCACATACACCCACGTCCTTGGGTATTTAGGCCCGAATCCTTTTCAGGAAAAGCGCCCGCGCTACTTTGTGTAGGATTCTTATGGGCTTGCACGTAAGAATACCACTCTGTTTAATTCACCCTAGCTGTCGACCCCTTTGTTGACTTAGTGTTCTTGATGGTTCAAGAAATTCTGAACAACTTCTGGAGCAGCCAAAATCTGTCGAACACTCAGGTGCATGCCTTTTTTGCTGAGTGTTCAGGGAGTGTGGTCCCCTCTGCAGGAAACCCTTGTCCTGCAAGGAAATGCAGCCAGCAGGCCCATCTGGCAGGATTGATCGATCAAGCGTTTTGAGCATTGAAAATGCTGCTGAGTGCAGGTGGTGGTGGTGGTGGTGGTGGTGTGAAAGTTCGACACCTCGTTCGAAGCCGTCCTGTCGGTCAAACACAGTTGTTCTCATGTTTCCATACACGCGCAAATCAAGAAGTGTACTGCAGTATGCACGGAAGCCTTTCGTAGAAGCTTGCAGTTGACATGGACTGTTTTTGCGCTTCGTTCAAATGCCTGTCGCGCCCAGAGCGACATCAACCCGGGTGATGCGCTTACGCATTGTCCGGGTGCATTCGATGCATGTCGCGTCCAGAGCGACAAATCGAGAAATGTACCAAGGACTTGCCATCACCGCATGGCTCAAGTGCGACGCAAGAAAAGCGTTGCACGTCCGGATCGGGGCGTGGGCGTTTCGGCTGATCGCGGCCGAGGGATTCCGTTCGATCGAACACGTTCGAAAGGCTTCAACTGTTTTCTTTTGGGTTCTCACGAGTTTCCAAATGTTTCCAACTTGAAGTTAACCTTCATATCGGAGCTCCTGCGGGAGCTGTAGGTTCCAATTCACTTAGGATAGGTCACGACTTTTCATCCGTAGAGATTGAGCCATGACCGATCGTGATGGAACTGCGCCTCAAAGAGAACGATCCAGAGGAAGATTTGAAACTCGGAGCCGAAGGAGTCCGGAAGCGCAGGGGGTAGACACGTCAAGAATAGAGAGATTAGAAACACAAGTTGCGCGCCTTTCAGATTCGTTGATCTCTCTTGGACCAGCTTTGCAACAGGTGATTCAGTTGAGCTCAAATCCAAACTTTGTTGCACAGAATGTTGCTGCCCCGACTGTTCTTCCGGGTTCTCAGATGCCAATCCCACCAGCACAGGTGCCACAAAATCCTGCACCTGGTTTAGCCCAGCCTGATCCGACAGCCCAACCATCCGATCTAGGTAATCCGACTAATGTCAATGCAGACCCACTGCAGACATCCGATCCTTGGCGTAACTATACAATACTTCGCCATCTCGAGAGGCTGGCATTCCTGAACGACCATTCCCTACGAGCCTGCCAGCCTCACCGGATCGTCAGTTCCCGCCGTTCGGAGCTTCTCAGTTGAACTCGAGTGAATTGATTCCCCCACCACCATAAATGCCACCCCTGCAATCCACAGGAGGTCCACGATCCATTCCGATCGATACTCCTCCGGGATCAATGCATGAGAATGGAGGAGATGAAAACCCCTTCAAGAGGAGCGAATGGTGGATGCCAAACATGCCCGCTCCAGCATACGATGAATGGAAATCACGTCCTCAAGAGATCACCGGGTTTTTGTCTTGGGTAACTGATCTAGCTAGTTGGACTGGATTAGGATCCAACGCCTACCCTGGAGAGATTATGGGTTGTATCAAAGAAACTGAGCCTTTAGGTTGGCATCGATTGCAACCCAGCCAGATAACCAGGTCAGTCAGACTTCTCTCCATTCGAAGACATGCTTCATGAACCATGCCCGAGCAAGCCTGGTTATTCGCAACTATGAGGAAGCTAAGGGATCTCATCGATGCTGCGGATTCGAGTGTCTTCGACTGATTGCAAGAGAGTTTTCAGTGAAAACCCGCACAGAGTTATTTGCCGAAGCCGACGAGACTTTGATCCTTTTGAGAGCCCTGCCCCAACAGTGTCGTCAGTGGATTGTCCTGAACAATGCCGATGAATCCTTTGTCTCATATGTTGAAAGTGCCCTCAGGTATGAAGCCCAATAACAACGTATTTGGCTTGATCTCAATGGCAAACCCATCGCCAGCCTGGGAGGTTTCGATCCAAAAGGCAAAGGCAAGGAGCGCAAAGGTAGAAAAGGTAAGTATGACAATCAGGACAAAGACAAAGAGGGCAAGGGAAAGCATTTGGGTAAAGGTAAAGGCACTGGATCCGGGTCAGAGAAGCTGTTTTCAATGTGGTGAACGAGGTCATTTGTCCGCCAACTGTCCCAATCGTGACAAGCGCCACGGCAGTCCTGAGAAGCAGTCCAAAGGTGATAAGGGAAAGGGAGATGGAAAAGGAAAGAGTAAAGAGAAAGGAAAGAAGGGTGAGAAAGGAGATAAAGGTGGAAAAGGAAAGATGAAAGGGAAAAGGGCCACTGAGTTTTCGCAACCAGGGTCCGAAGCCGGGTCCGAGGTATGGTCAGAACCAGACTTCGAAGACGGTGGTCGTCTTTCCACCTGTATGGAGCCTTCTTTGCCCGTTGAACCCTTCTTCATGCGCCAGAATCTTGATGATCATGATCCCCACCTTTGGCTTGTCGATTCCGGAGCTTCTCGAACCGTCGTTTCTGCACAAGCATTGAAAGTGTATCGATTGTTGAAAGAACGGAACATGACCACACCCATCAACCTTCGAACAGCATCCGGAGAGCAAGTATCTATTGAAAGAGAATGTATGCTAGAAGTGTTCTTTCCCACCATGATTGAACATGAAGACGGTGAGAAAGTCAAGGTTGTTCGATATGAAATTCGTGCCGTCATCGGACCTGTAGAGCACAATTTGTTGAGTGTTCATGGACTCACCCGTATGGGAGCAACGTTCACGTTCGGTCCGAACAGCTGCAGCATCCAAATTGCCGACATTCGCAGGATGTCATGCGAGATTTGGGCCAATGTACCTTGGGTCCGAGCTCATCGAAGGCGTGGAAAGGACTGCAAGGGGGATGTCGACATGGAAGCCCAGGTTTTTGAAGCTTGGTCTGATCAAAGTCCTTCAAGTCAAGGTGGTAAGAGTCCAAGTCAGAGCAGCATCTCCAGTCCTTCAATAGACACGACGTATCGCACTTCGAGTTCGGCCATTGCCTTCTTTGGAACCACGTCCAAATCAACACACACAGGTCATGCCAAAGTGTTGCAGTTCGATGATGAACCAGAAATCCATGATTTTGAGCCCAATACCATGTCACCCAAGCCATCGAAGCTGCATGAA